CCAATATGATATAATGGCTAAGCCATCAAGATAGAAACTAGGCCATTGAAAAAATATTATTAAAGTAATATGAAATGTAATAAACTGAACTTAAGCATTTTTGGGAAACTGAGAGAAACTGAACAGATAACAAATTTGACCAACCCAAATTCGATCTTGCATCATTATCCTGGGACACGTACATTTGCTTTTCATTCATCAGATAACAAATTTCCCATTCCAGCTAAAGCCTATATTATTTTTAACTGCTATGACTCTGAACCTGTGCTGTTAATGATCTGCCACATATTTAAGTAAGTGAAAATGGCAGAGGAGTTTCAAAAGTTGATGTCTCCAACTTTACTGTAACAATGCGCAACATCATTTATTGTCCAATTTAAAAAAATATCAAAGAGTCATTCTTGGTTTGAAAGCAAGCAAATAACCCTGAGATAGTCAATCAGGTCCTAGAAAGAAGAGGGGAGCTGCAGCAGATTGCTCATAGGGAACGGATGTTCTAAGGAAGGTTGTGGCTTGTAAGAGCTGATAAGGTCTCAATTAAACTATTATTAATTATTGATTCTTATTAAACTGACTACTGATTAGGGATGTGGTAGGTAATTTTTGAAACCAAGTCATTTCCCTACTTGAAATTGTTCTTCAAAGTTTCTGTTTGCCCAGTAAAGGAAAAGATAACATTACAATAAGAAGTTTGCTTGTTTTCTCCAGCAAAACAAATGCCAGCTTGTTGGAGGGCAATTCAGATTTAACAAATGGTGTAATAGAGGTGTCTAATTGTCCTTTCCCTGAACTACACTGAACTGGGGCTGGGGACATATTACAACTCATTTCTCTTGCGGAATGTTAATTTCATCCTTCCCCAAATAAATTGTTGAAAGTAGGTCAGCCAAGTCCTTGATAAAGAAAAATACTCATATTCTTCATGAGATTTACCTTCTGTCTAACTTTCTTCTTTGTAAAGGAGATATCCAAGGGTTAATGAAGGATCATTTCAGTTTTACAATCAGAAAAAGTAAAAACATGGCTATTTACTAATATTGTTTGTATCTTTACCATTTATATTGTTTTATTTGTTTCCTATATAATTTGATTGCTTATTAGTAATCTATGACTATCACTAAGCATTGTATCTTATGATTCTTGATGAATATATGTTATTTTTTCTTTATGTACACTGAGAGCATATGCACCAAAGAAAAATTCCTTGTGTGTCTAATCAAACTTGGTCAATAAAGAATAAAGAATTATATTCTATTTACTGAGATGCACCATGTTACAGTGGGTCTGGTTCGGTCAGCATCTTCTCCAGTTTGGTAGTTTTCCAGAGGACTTATTACACGAGAGCCACATTGGTGCATCCAACAGACTAGAGAAGGCCATTACGATTATGAACATTATTTTGTGATAAGCAAACTGGTTAATGTTAATGTTTTCTTTAATGTTATTGTTAAATATTATACTCAAATAGTACTGTGTTTGCTCCAAGCTTCATTTAACAATTGCCTGACAGATTTTCCACACAAGAATCTAAAAGATGGAGCAAGGGGTAAGAGAAAAAGAGGCAGAAAGAGACAGAAATTATTACCTGCTGAACTGGTATCCTGAATAATATGAAGCACAGGAAGAACACTCCAGGCGATTATGCTGGTAAAAGACATAATGGACATCTTGACCTCATACCCCATCTTGACCCCAGAACAGAAAGTTGCAGTTGTATCAGTTTAACTCCACACTTCAGGTCAAACAGGTATCTCAGAGATTTTATTCTCATCTTTTCCTCTCAGAAGCATGTAAAATGCAGAAATATCAAACCACTCTGCTGCAAACAGGAAATAGCTCTTTGATGACTTTGTAATTTTATCTGTGTTTATTCATGCTTTTTTTCTACACTTTGCTCTACTCTCAGAAACTCTGCACTATTATGCCCCTGACATTCATCGGAAAGAAATGCCAACCCTCGCCCACTGAAAATGAGAATAGGAACCTGGATCAATACACAGCCTGAAACTTTCATAGCTGCCAGATGAGAAGAAACTGCCACTGAGATTCAGCCAGTCATTTGTGGACCAGGCTTTTTTCCTCATGTGCCTTCCTCTGAAGAATCTACATCATGGAAATAGAGCTGCTGTTACCATCATAAAAATAGCCAAAGCAGCATCTCTACCACCTCTATTCCTTTGAAAAAGTTCCACATTAGAAATGAACTTATCCAGAAATGTCTGTGGAGATTCTCAGTCATCCAGGTCCTAATTGTTTCAAAGGTGCTTTTTAAAAAAAGGCAACCTGGGTGTTCTCCCCTCTCCCCTTAAGGAAGACAAAAATGTTTCACTTCTCATGCAAAAAGCTTCATTGGTTCTAGCAGGGTGGTGGGGGTAATGAAAGGATTAGTTCTGACAGGACAGGGCAGGCAGTGTTGGAAGTATCAGTTCTCTGTCTTTCATGGCACATTTCCAATGTTTGATAAAAGTTATGAAGGGTCTAGAGGCCATTCATAAAAATGTAGGTATCATCAAGATAAAAATGTGTGTGATCTTCAATATTAATTACTATGGAATAAATACAAATATAAACAAATAGGTTCAAGTATTTGATACCAGCTGGAACTAAGTTCTCCCAAGAGCTCTTTGTTTAGAGTCTAAATAATGGCATGAAAGTATTGGCCACTGGAGCAACAGACTATCATACATTCTGTGGCCATCACCACTCTTTTTTTTCTTCTCTTTAAAACTGATTCCCCTACCACCACCAAATGAGCTATATGGTTCAAAATAAAGGAAGAGAATCTGGCTTGCCACTGTGAAGCTTTGGGGAAGATAAAAAGGCATTTAATTAAAAACACCTATACCAAACTATAAATTTTATCCAAGAAGGCAGGGATGTTGTGGTGGAACAACGGCGATTCTGGAGCTCCTGGGAAAGCCGCCGAAACCCCCACAGCTGAACCCGAACCATCCCGAAGAGACAGTGAGCAAAGGGAGCACATCCTGTCGATCCCAGGGACATCGCAAAGTCCCTGGTTGATCCAGGAAAGCTCCTGAAGTTCTGCAGTGGAGGGAAGCGGCCATTAAAGCCACTAGAAAGCTGTGACAGCACCGGAAAGAAAGATTGTCAGGAAAGTGTGTCAGTTTGGATGAGAACCTTTTTTTTAACTAAAATCAGAGCACCCTAAGGGTGTTTAGAAGGAAGAAGACAGAAAAGTGGAGAACAGCAGCAAAATAGAACATAAGGCTAGCTGTCAAACGTTTTTTGGACTTTTTTATTTTATTTTTCTTATTTTTTAAAGAATTTTTTTATTTTTGATTAAGTGGACTGGATCTTCAAATAAGAATTAATTGAAAATTACTTTTAATTTTTGTTGCTAAAGTTAAACTATTTTTCCCTTTTTATTTTTACTTTTAAAAAGGATACTTTGTTAGAATCTATTGGATACAGTATAAAACTAAAGGAGAAAGTTAAGCAATACTGCCATCTAGAGGTCGTATATACACATATATATACACATATACATATACATATACATATACATATACATATACATATACATA